TGACTGATTTTGAAATACTGGGAGATCTGCCTTTGGAAATAGTGCCCTTATTTTATTTTTTTTTAATGGAAAGTGCTTTCTGAGGTCAGTGCAGTTCCTATTTCTGAGGCAGTTGGATCGTGACCTTGGTATTCAGCCCACCTGCGCCCACATGGTTGCCATGTCTCTCTGTCACCAGGCAGTGAAGTGCTACCTGGTCTTCAGGCTGGAGCTGTGTGGCCCCAGGGCCAGAAGTTYCCAGATGCCCGAACTGCTTGGGGCTGGGGTGTGGCTCAGTAAGTACGRGAGCACTTGGCCTAGTGTGCAAGGCCCCGGGTTCCATTCCCAGCCCTGCAAAATAAATAGATAAATAAAGAGAGTGACGCTTGGCGATCTTGTTGGTAGCCCTTTTTCCTCCTTTGCTCTTGCTCCTTGCAGTTCTAAGAACCGCAGCGCTGCACGAGTTTTAAAGTAACAGAGTTCCCTCTTYGAAGGACTCTGCCCGAGAGCTGCCATGTCCTCAGCGGGCTTGTTGCCACAACTGCTRTTTATGTGGCTTGTCTGAGGTTAGTAATGACAACACGAGGCCTTCCCTTGATGTTAAAAATGAATCGTGGCCTCTCAGACCCATCGGTGACTCCCTCTGYAGCCAGAATTGAAGGCTTGTCCCCATGATGTGAAAGGCCTGGGAGGGACCGCGCCCAAGCAAGTCTGGTCACACATGGACTCAGAGCCACAGGGCCTTGGACCAGTCACAGAGTTGAGTGGTGGACACCCAGGGCTTTGGTTGTCTGAAGTGATCTCAGGGAGCACCACTATATATTTTTAAAAACTTAAATGTTTGTTTAATAGCTGACTGCAGGAAAGTCAGTCGGCGATTTCGGGCAGGTCACGGGAGCAAGGGTGAGTTGTGGCCTCAGCAGCAGGCCCGGTTTCAGCCTGCACTGGAGTCATGTAGTGGACTTCACACCCACACAGCCAGAAACACACTGGCCTGCGTTTTGCTGTATTTCTTTAACAGCACCCAAGAKCCCTGTTATAGCTCCTGTTCTTTCTTTTTTTCTTCCCCTAATTTTCTTTTATCGTGGAGTTGAGCACATTCCCTTGCACARCCATCCAACACCCATCTCCAGAATCTTCTCATCTTGCAAAACTAATGCTCCCTGAATCACTAACTCCACATCCTTCCCTCCCCCTTCTAGACTCTGTCTCTACCTATTTGTCTGCTCTGACTACTTCATAGAAATAGAATCATATGATGTGTGTCCCTTTGTATCTCTTATTTTCCTTGGCATAATGTCCTCCAAAGTTCATGCATATTGTAACATGTGTCAGAATTTCCTTCCTTTTTAAGATTTGAGTAATATTCCRTTGTATRCAGAGACCACGGTTTGTTTACTCATTTATCCATGAATGGGCACTTGGGTTGCATCCTTGTTATTTTAGCCTTTGTGATCATGTTGCTGTGAACACAGGGTACAAATAACTCCTCAAGATCCTGCTTCCAACTCTYCTGGGTATATTCTCAGGAGTGGAATGACTGGGTCATAGGTTAATGCTGTTTTAATTTTTTGAGGACCCTCCATACTGYCCTCCATGGGACTGCACTGTCTCGCATCCCACCAGCAGAACATGTGGGCTCAGTGTCCCCACGTCCCAGTAATTGCTGTTTTCAGATTTTTGATAGTTGCCACCCTAATAGGTATGAGGTGGTATGTTGTGTTTGTTATTTGTTTTTGTTTTGTTTTGCAGTACTAGTACCAGGGCCTCCAACATGCTAAGCAAATGCTCTACCTTTGAGCTACACCCTTAGCCTTTAAAAAATAAAAAATAAAAATGTTTATTTTTTTTTAAGASAGAGAGAGAGAGAGAATTTTAATATTTATTTTTTAGTTTTCGGCGGACATAACATCTTTGTTGGTATGTGGTGCTGAGGATCGAACCCGGGCCGCATGCATGCCAGGCGAGCGTGCTACTGCTTGAGCCACATCCCCAGCCCTAAAAATGTTTTTTGAGACAGGACYTTCCTAAGTTGCGCAGGCTGGCCTTGACCTTGTGATCCTCTGCCTCAGCCTCCTAAGTTGCAGGGATTACAGGTATGCCCTATCACTCCTGGCTCTCATTGTGGGTTTTTTTTTTTTTTTTAAAGAGAGAGAAGAGAGAATTGTTTTTTTAATATTTATTTTTCAGTTTTCTGTGGACACAACATCTTTATTTTATTTTATGTGGTGCTGAGGATCAAACCCAGCGCCCGGCACATGCCAGGCAAGTGCGTTACCGATTGAGCCACATCCCCAGCCCTCTCATTGTGGTTTTGATTTGCATTTCCCTGATGACTAGTGATTTTGAGCACCTTTTCATGTGCTTATTGGACATTTGTATATTGTCTTTAGAGAAATGTCTATTTAAGACTTTTGCCCTTTTTAAAATTGGAGTGTTGTTGGGTTTATGAGTTCTTTATATATTTCAGATGTTAATCCCTTATCAGATATATCATTTGCAAATATTTTTCCCATTCTGTGCTTTTTTATCCTATTGGTATTATTATCTTTTGTTGTACAAAAGTTTTTAATTTTATGAAGTCCAATTTGTTTATATTTTGTTTTGTTGTAACTCCTTAATTTTTTATGCATAGTTGTTTGGCCAGTCCAAAATAAACCTGGTCCCTTACATTTTCAAGAGTTTTTAAATTACAGATTCACTTTCTTCCATGAGAATAGGGCTGTTTCTTTGGGGAGTTTGTGGTTTTCAAGGACCAGTCCATTTCATCTAAGCTGCTGGGTTGTGAGCATGTAGTTGTCCACCCTTGTCACCCTCTCTACCTGCAGGCTCCGTGTCATCTTATTCCTGGTTATTCCTGGTGACCGTTTCTATCACGGTCAGTCTTACCAGAGGCTTATCAATTTTGATTTTTTGTTGTTGATTTTTCTGTGTTTACCTGTTTCCAGATTCGTTGATTTCTGCTCTTGCCCTTGTTCTTCCCGCTTGCTCTGGTTTAYCTTGCTCTGGGTTTATCTTGCTCTTCCTTCCCAGCTTCTCGAGGTGGAGCTGGGTTATTGATCTGCAGTCTCCGTCTTTGCTTCTGCTCTTGGCACTGCTCCACCTGCAACCCTTGGAGCTCGACACGTTGCCTTGGCATTTTCATTCAGTCCTGTGTGTGTTTTACGATTTCCTTTGAGGCTTCTTCAACCAGAGGATTATTTAGAAGGGGGTCCTTTAATTTCCAAGTGTGGAGACTTTCCAATTATCTTTTCGGTTATGGATTTCTAGGTTTATTCCTTTACAGCCAAAGGATTCTGTATGATTTCAGTTCTTTTAAGTTCATTCAGGTTCCATCTGCTATGGTGATGTTTTGGGATGCTTCGGGGGTGGGGGGGCATTCTGTGCCTGTCAGTTGGATCCTACTGATTGCTGGTGTCATATCCGTGTGGATTTCCTGTCTAGTAGTTCACTCAGCAAGAGTGGAGTGTTGAAGTCTCCCACTAGAATTGTAGATTTGTCTATAGATCCCTTAGCTCTGTCAGTTTTGCTTTGTGTGTTTTGAAGCCCTGTTGTTTGGTGCATACACATTTATTGTGTCTTCCTGGTGGGTCAAACTTTCTGTCATTGTGTAATGTTTGTCTTTAATAACATTTTTCCTTCTGAAGTTTACTTTATCTGATACTAACATAGCCACTCCTGCTTTCTTTTTATTTATGTTGCATGACTAATGTTTTCCATCCCCAGTGAAGAGGAGTAAAGAAAGCGGAGTGCCAGCCACCCCACCTCCACCCCTCTCACTCCGCCCACTGATGCTGGTGGGGGTCAGAGTGGGTGGAGCTCAGCTCCCCACCAGGCCCCCACAGTGGCAATGCAAGGAGGAATCAGAGTGCAGCTGTCCTGCCTCGAATCATCTCCTTCCCACCCTTTGATGCCAAGTGGAGTTGAGGCCCAGCTCCGCAGCAGGATCACACTGGCACTGTGCTGGGGGGCAGAGCACCTCCTGCTCCCCTGGGTGGAGACAGGATCAGCTCCCTGCTTGGCCCCGCCAACACCAGCTGGTGCCCACTAGGGGGTCAGGGATGTGGCACCTGCTTTTGTGGGGCTGGAAGATCAGTCCCAGGGTGGCCCTGATGAACTCTGGGGGTAGGTGCAGTTTCTCCTTGGTCTTTGGCTCGCATAGAACTGTTGTTACCCAAAAGATGTTTCTGTCGTTAGTCCACCGTGGACACTCCTGGCCTCAGTTGTGGGACTGCTGCCCTTCTTCCTCAGGGATCCTCCCCCTGACCCAGGCTTACCATATGACCCTGAGATCCCACACTCAGGAATCCACATGAAAGAAGTGGATTCTCTGCCCTTTCCACATCAAGGAGGCCCTGACTCTGGTGGGTTTATTTGGTCCACATCTGCTTGGCAGGTTTTTKGGTTTTTGTTTTTAGATGAAGTTATCTTTAGACTTTTTTTTTTTTTTTTTTTTTTTGGTGCCTAGGATTGAACCCAGGTGTGCTTAACCACTGAGCCACATCCCCAGACCTTTTAATATTTTTTATTTAGGGACAGGGTCTCACTGAGTTKCTTAGGGTCTCCAAGTTGCTGAGGCTGGCTTCGAACTCAGGATCCCCCTGTCTCAGCCTCCCAAGCCACTGGGCTCACAGGCGTGTGCTACCGTGCCTGGCCATCTTTAGCATTTTTATCAACTTAGCTRCAGCCTCCTGGTGACTGACTTCCGATTCCCCCTCCCCCTTCTTCTTTTTCAAGCCTTCTCTTCACAAGGATCAGCGTCTGTGATCTGGTTTCTTTAGACCATCCTCTTTTTCAGTTGTTGCTGCTCTCCTCCCTTGTCATACTTATTTGTTTGGCCCTGGTGGGTGGCATTGGCCATAGTCACACAAAGAAGTTGGAGTGACTGATGAGGCCCCTAAAGGAATCTGAATGTGGGATGGAGGTGGGGTGGGAGGGAGGACAGAGGGTGGGCCTTCTGGGTGGGAGAGAAAGATCTCACTGGATCTCAGCCTCTAACCCYGTGTTTCTGGTCTCTCCAGGTTTGTCCATTAGCGCCATGCCCCATGTCTCCATGAAGCTGAAGTGAGGGGTCCAGCTGCGGGCCCAGCCCTGGCCAGGGCAGCATGAACAAGCCCCGGCTCTTCCGGCTGTGGCTGGTGCTGGGTTCCGTCCTCATGATCCTGCTCATCATCGTGTACTGGGACAACGTGGGCACTGCCCACTTCTACCTGCATACATCTTTGTCCAGGCCACATACCCTGGAATCCCTGCCCACCCCCGGACAGCGGGAGGAGAAGGAGTTTGCATCTGATGTGGATGAGTTTTTGGATAAGCTCTTAAGTTCCAGCTCGAAGCAGAATGACCTTTCCAGGAAAAAGACGGAGCAGCCCTTGCTGGCCTCTGGCAAGCCGGCGTTGAGCCACCTAGAGGAGAGCGTGCGGGGCTACGACTGGTCCCCCCATGACGCCCAGCAGAGCGCTGACCAGGGCCAGCAGCAGGCCGAGAGGAGGAGTGTGCTGCGGGACTTCTGCGCCAACTCCAGCCTGGCCTTCCCCACCAAGGAGCGCTCCTTCGATGACATCCCCAACTATGAGCTGAACCACCTCATCGTGGACGACCGCCATGGGGTCATCTACTGCTACGTGCCCAAGGTGGCCTGCACCAACTGGAAGCGCGTGATGATCGTGCTGAGCGAGAGCCTGCTGGACGGCGGCGCGCCCTACCGCGACCCGCTGGACATCCCGCGCGAACACGTGCACAACTCCAGCACCCACCTGACCTTCAACAAGTTCTGGCGCCGCTACGGCAAGTTCTCCCGCCACCTCATGAAGATCAAGCTGAAGAAGTACACCAAGTTCCTGTTYGTGCGCGACCCCTTCGTGCGCCTCATCTCGGCCTTCCGCAGCAAGTTCGAGCTGGAGAACGACGAGTTCTACCGCAAGTTCGCGGTGCCCATGCTGAGGCTGTACGCCAACCACACCAGCCTGCCCGCCTCGGTCAGCGAGGCCTTCAGCGCCGGCCTCAAGGTGTCCTTCGCCAACTTCATCCAGTACCTGCTGGACCCCCACACCGAGAAGCTGGCTCCCTTCAACGAGCACTGGCGGCAGGTGTACCGCCTGTGCCACCCGTGCCAGATAGACTACGACTTCGTGGGGAAGCTGGAGACCCTGGACGAGGACGCCGCCCAGCTCCTGAGGCTCCTCAAGGTGGACACGCGGCTCCACTTCCCCCCGAGTTACCGGAACAGAACTGCCAGCAGCTGGGAGGAGGACTGGTTTGCCAAGATCCCYCTGGCCTGGAGGCAGCAGCTCTACAAACTCTACGAGGCCGACTTTGTGCTCTTCGGCTACCCCAAGCCCGAAAACCTGCTCAGAGACTGAGCCCCTGCCTGAACGTGCGCTCCTTCAGCTCCTTCAAACTGAGCAAGGGTCGCGGGGCGTCTCCTGAGGACAGGGCTGTCCTGGGTTTTCCTSCCAGTTTGATGCAGTCGGAAATGCCACGCGCTCCCCTGGGGAGACCTCCGGGGGAATCTGGGCCGCAGCACACACACTCCAGTTTTTTTTTAAATAACCCATGGTTTTGCAATCGGGACTTATTGTTTACTCCACAGCCTGTATTCATTGAGCACTGTTAATACTGTTTTGTAAGATTAATATATTTCAGATATTTAATATGAAAGTGGGAGGAAGCTGGAGTAAAGCGTGGCACCTGCGCTCTCACTAATCTCGTGGTTTTTCAGATCTGGAAACACATGCATGCAAAGTGGGGCCTGGTGGTCAAGGGGCTCCAGACCTACACACTGCGGTGGAGGAGGGAGGCATCTTAAGCGTCTTCAGTGGAGAWAAGGCACCTAAACTTGAAGTTGGGCTGTTTAAGTCAGGTTTTTGTTACTATAACAAAATCCCCAAAGCAGAGTAATTTCATAAATAAAAGAGGTTTGTTGCCTCACAGTTTGTAGGTTCAAGGGCCTGGTGCTGGCATCAGCTTGGCTCTGGTGAGGATCTAGGGCAGGTGGCAGTGACGGGACTGTGTGTGAGAGGGAGAGATTGTATCAGCAAACTGGAGGCCAGAGCCCAACAGGATCACAGCCTCATCTGAGGTTTCACCCACTCAACCTAAGGACCTCCCTCACCTAGACCTACCTGACCAAACCCAACACATGGACCCCGGTCATCACACCCACTCCCATACTCTAGCACAGGCCTTGCCTGTTTTTGTAGAAGGGCAGCAGACAAATCGGTCCAGGGTGAAAGCCTTTTACTAAGTGATGTGTTTGAGCAGCCAGATCTTTCAGGCTTTCTGTTGAGAGGGGTCATGGGTAAACCRTCTTCGGGTCAGAGTCACAGAGGAAAGCCCTTCTCACTGCAGCCCTCCCTTTAACCCAAGTTCAGTCGTGGCTGTCAGGATTTGCAGCCAGCAGGGATGGTGTGCACTGGAGGTTGTCCCTGGGACATGTTTTCTGTGGTGTCYAGCATTACTGAGGAGAGCTCAGGTGCCACCGTCTTGCAGCCTGGGAGCTTTAGCTCCAGTGCTGTTCACCCTCAAGGACATGCCTGACTTTGAATGTGCAGGTCTGAAGGACCCAGCTGGGTGGGAGCCCCAGAGGCTGAACGAGGAGGCTTGTTCAGCATCYGGCTCACGCTCCTGGGCAGTTTTAGCTTGCAACCCGCAACACAGGCATCTGGGTCTGTGCTGCAGCAGCACATTGGTCTTTTCCTTCCATCTATGGATTGGTCATTGCCTCCCAGTCCCTGGAGAGCTGGCACTGCTCAGTGGGGCACCATCTGCATCTGCCTAGGCCCAGAGGSACGGAATCCTTGGAGGTTGTGGCTGCTGGGTGCCCTCAGCTCTGCCTCCACAGTCACCCAGCTTCCTTTAGAAGTATCTTTTCTTTTTAAACAGCAGCAGATGTGTCGAGGAGTCCAGTGCTAGGCAACTTCTGAGTAGCCCCATGTCGGCACCTGCTGGGTACCCTGCTCACCACAGAGTTGTCTCTGGTGCCTGGTAAGCAGGACACCATGCCTATGGACGAGTCAGCCGCTAACTGTGCCTTCAAGCCCTSTGGTGAGGTGGGAATCTTCTGCTGCCAGGCCAAAAGTTGATCCCCTTTGGGGACAGTGCACAGAGGAGCACAAGGCTTCCTGCAGAAGGAGCACTTGGGCCAGACCTGTCAGAGGGTGAGGTTTTGACTCTTGAGGTGGAGTGCAGAGCATCAGGAAATGTGGGGCTTATCAGGGGAGTAGAGAGGGTGGCGCAAGCTCTACAGTTAAGTATGGACCACACGTTGCCTCATCTCTGCTCTGACACCCGCATATCCTTGGCATATTTCTCTAGGGAGGAAAGAGGTGGAGCCAGCCACGGTGGGTGGTGCACACCTGTAACCCCAGTGACACAGGAGGCTAAGGCAGGAAGATCACAAGTTTGAGGCCAGCCTCAGCAACTGGGATTTAGCTCAGAAGTAAAGAGCCCCCAGGTTCAATCCTTTGTGCCACAAAAAGAAAAGAAAAAAGAAACAGGATGTGGGTCCAGTTTTGACTCCAGGGCCTGTCACATGGCCACCACCCTGCCAGGATGGGATGGGGTCACAGGTGCTCTAGAGGACAGGTGGTCCAGTGTGACGTCTGCTTCTTGACYGTCAGGCCAGGAGCCGAGGTTTCATTGGTAGACGGCTGCCACAAATATTGATGTTTTGGACAGARGAAGTTGGGTGCTTTGGGAAGGCCAGTGCTGTGTGAGTAAGGGGAGTGAAGGCGGAGGGGGGCCTGAGAGGCAGGGAGGTAGGTCAAGAGGCCACTGCAGCTGCCCACAGAGAGGGTGCTGGACCCAGCGGAGCTGACCGATGGGCAAAGGTGCAGCCTGAGGTCACCAGCCTGCAAACCCTGGAGACGGGAGCACAGAGCCTGCGAGAGGGGCAGCACCTTTTCCTCTCTGTCGGTGAGGAACAGGGCAGGAGGATCCAGAGCTACCTTGTTCACTGCTTCCCGTGTTCTGGGGTGCCAGCAGGTGCATAGGAGGTCCTCAGGCCTGCTACTCTACCCTCTGGTGTGGGAGAGGCAAAGGCAGGTGGCCCTGGAGAGTGTGGCAGGGACCGTCGGCTCTTTTCTTACAATTGTTTTCATTTGATAAAATTCATAACACATGAAATCCAGTATTTTGACTATTTTTAAGCACATTCACTTGTGCTGCCCACAGACTCATATTCCCAGCCTAATGACTGTCCCCGTTCAACACTGCCTCCCTCGGCCCCCACCCCCAGGCCCTGGCTCCCACCATCTCCGTCCTGTCTACAGGGCTTTGACAATTTTAGGGATTTCAGAGAGGTGGACTCCTACAGTGTTTGTCCTTTTGTGACTGACTGATTTCACTTTCCATCATGTCCTCAAAGTTCATTGTGTTGTAGCACACGTCAGAATGTCTTTTCTTCTTGAAGCCAAATAACAAAATGCTCTGTTGTGTGATGGATCACATTTATTATCATTTTTCACAGTATGGGGATTGAACCCAGGAGCTCGTACATGCCAGGTGAGTGCTCTACACTGAGCTACATCCCAGGCTACTTTATTTTTATTTTGAGACAGAGTCTTGCTAAGTTGCCCAGGCTGACCTTGAACTTAGGATCCTCCTGCCTTGTCCTCTGGAGTAGCTGGAATTACCACTRTGCCCAGATAATGACCACATTTTGATCATCCACTTATCAGTTTGATCTTGGGTTGTGTTCATCTTTTGTGAATAATGCAGCTATGAACAGGGGTGTGCAAATATCTGAGTCCCTGCTTTGGATTCTTCTGGGTCTATAGGAGTGGAATTTCCAGGTCCTAACTGACCTGCTAACTTTTTATAAACTGAGTCATTGTGGGAAACACAAAGAATGTGTTCAATTGGACTGACTGGTATGTTTGTATTGCAAATTAYATGTCACAGTTTTAGGGTGAGTTGAGAACATTCTGGGGGAAAAAACAAGATTATATTTGTGCCAGTTTCAAATCTCCTTTATTTTGTATTCAATACATTGTGAATTTCACCAGAGTCAAAAAATTTGAGTAGCCAACATTATGGAAACGAATCCCAATGTTAAAGTATATCATGAGGATCCTGCATCTGAGAGCCCCTGGTCCCTATTTCTGTCCAAGTCATCTCACCGAAATGGTTCATTTAGAGGATGTTTAGACAGATGTCAGAATGTCTGGAGCTGTTTGCTCATTGAGGAAGGACCCAACCCTCCTTCCTTTCTGCCTTCTGGGTTCTCSGTGTAGTTCTACCACAGGTCGGTGTTCCTGAACACCTGGGGTGTTTGCAGGGATATGAAAGGGGTTCCAGAACGAACACTAGCCCCGTCTACATACTCATACCCAGATTTCACACCCAGAACCATAGTAGGAGCTTCCACCTGGGCTAGGGCCAACTCAGGATTTGATGGCAGAGAAGGACCCCCTGGGCCATAGGAGACAGGCTTGGGAAGAGTGGGCCCCGCCTGGCCCCAGTGTGGAGCCTGTGAGTTCACCCAGGGCAGAACTCATTTCCCCTGATTGTCTGCCTTTCCTCTGACCCATGGTATATGGTATGCAGAAATTTGACTTTTTTTTTTCTTCTGCAAAGATAAGAGAAACGACGATTTTAAAGAATTAATCCTGTGCAACTAGATAATTTAACCAAACAATCCAAATACTTAGAATTTACTTAGGATTCTTCCCACCCCACCYCCGCTCACTCTGGGGGATGGAACCCTGGGCCTTGCACACTTGGTAAGTGCTCTGCCACTGAGCTGCGCCCGTGTAGACGGCTTCACCACAGCCACAGGCCTGGTCCTCAGTGCCATGTCATGGTGTACAGAATCCTCTCAGGTGGGTTATCATGGGGGTGCTGGGCCTGTTGACAGGGAAGGGACTGTCCTGGATGGGGCCTGCACCCACTGTGCACTCGTCACCTGACCTTGGGTGCTGGTTCCCACCTCCCCCAGCACTTGAGCTGGGTGTGTGCAGGGCGCGCGCATGGCCTCYGTTCCTCTTTCCACTTAAAATGCCTTGTGCCAGTGGCTTCTAAGGAGCACAGAGGTGGCCTTCACTGTCCTTTCACCGCTTATTTGAGAAGTGTTTTCAACTCTTTGAAGAATTTGAGTTTGGTTTCTCGCCCCATGACTCAATAGAGAGCAAGAACTGGATTCCCTTTCTCTTCCCAGTGAGGGGCACTGAGCAGGCAGCTTGTCAAGGGGAGCTTTCCCCCAGCCCCGCCGCTCAACCCCATGCCAGAGAGACAAAGGTGATAATCGCAGCTACCAGGCCTGCAGGGAGCCTGAGCCCATGTAGGTGTGCGGGTGYAGTCTCAGGGGTTTTCTGTGTGGAGTCTACGCTCTCAGACACAATGCACCTCCTATTTGGCCGGCATGTTGCCATGTGTGGATCTCGCTCCCATCTGGAGCTGTGCCCGGYGGCTGTGCCCACTCAACTGCTTATGAATGAAGGAAGGAAAAACGAAGCCATTGAGCCTCACTCCARCCCCCTGAGCTCTGAGGGCCGCATCACTGCCCCACATATTTATTAGGTGTCCAAGGCCCCGGGAGGCGCAGTTATAGGCCCTGAGGTCATGGGGCTTGGAGCCCATTCTCTCTGACTTCCTGCACTTTCTAAGCACAACATTCCTGGGGGGAAATGAACTGTTTCATCTCGGCTTCAGCATGTGTCTTTATTAGCTTCCTGCATTGTCTTCCTCTTGCCTCCTCCCTGAGGGTGTGGGAATTGTGACATTTTCTGCTCACTTTGGGCAAACCCTCAAAGGAGGGACACCCGTGTGCCTTGGGAGCTGGAAGAGCAGCCAAGCTGGAGGAGGAGGGTGCCTCTCAATCCAGCTGCATGGGCTGCAGGGATTGGGAATGCAGGCAGGGGGTCTGCCAGGCTGCCCACCAAGCCCTGGTCCCCAGAGGGAGCTGAGGGGTGGATGGGAACAGCTCCCTGGGCTGGAAACTGCACTTTCTCCCATGTGAAGCCAAGCAGAATGAATGTGTGTGGTTTTGTTGGTGGGCCAYCTGGTGTACACTGCATTGCCAGGGCTCTCCCGAGCTGCCCTGGRCCCTTTCCCTAGAGGTGAGCCACCTCGGACGCACTTTTGGGAGGACCTCACTCTGGAGCAGGGGTTCCAGCCCCTGGCTGAGTGGTTTCCTGCAGCAGGACTTTTGGGGACACACTGACATTCCCAGAGCCTTCCCTTGAAGTTATTTGAAAAAAGGCTCTTTCCTGGTGGGGTTCTTTCTGCATTGTGATGCTCCTGGCAGGGCRCTGGGGACAGTCTGTTCTCATCAGTGTCCCCGCCCTGAAGAATAACAGACTCCCAAATTTCACGCAGTCTACAGAACTGATCCCACCCTGGGATGCACCCCAGGCCAGGGCAGCTCCCAAACCAGTTATCCAGGGATAATTATTGCTCACTTATTTTTAAACCACATACCAAATCCACACTCCAAAAACCCCAAAATATAATAAAGTAAAATTTACATAGCATAGACAAAATTAAATCTAAT